AAAAGAATATTAAAAATAATTTATTGTGTTTTTTAAAGAAATGCAGGGTAGGCCTAAACTATTGGCCTGCAGTTTATATGAAATGTGTCTTTAAGCGAAATCTTTTCGGTATTTAATTGCTCGAAATATTCATAAATTCCGATTTGTATCCAACCGTAAAAGTAATTTTCTACGATAATAGATTTTATTTCTCAATCCGACTGATTTTTATCCCATTAAACATTATTTTCAGTGGATGCTTTTAAGGTAATTCTTGCAGATGCCTAAAACTAAACTGACCTCTGGTTCAGCTTAGAAAAGAGAAATGATAATTTCGATGAAATAAGTATAATTCTTGCCAAAAGATTGGTTATGTCTAAAATTCCGATTTGGGGCCAAAACTGAGTTCTTCAAATCATAAGATCCGTGGAACTTCAGTTGAGTTCTTCAAATCACAAAGTCTGTGGAACTTCAAAACCTTTCATTTTAATTTTGATTCTTTACCATCTTGAAGAAATAAAATTGATTTCCTCAATTCACAAAGTTTGGGAGAAATTTTCAAATGAATTTAAAAAAAATTTTTTTTTTTATTAAATTCACGACGATTTTATGTCACTTTAAAAAAAATTTAAATCACTAATTTTTTCAATTATTTTAAAATTTGAATCATTAAGAGTTCCCTCTTGATACGAACATGAATCCAAATACTGGATATTGAAGCCCCAGTTGAAGGGCAATTTCCAATCCTGGGATCACCTGATTCCAAAAATGTATGTTTATGTAGAGCAAGTGTGGCCCGAATTACAGGGTTTTCAATCATACAGAAACATTATTATTATAAATAAGTAAAATATGATATAAAATAATAATAATAATAATAATAAATGAAAAATATAAATAATATATTTATGTAGAGTAAAATTCATACACATGGACAAACAGATAAAATTTGGCGTTTACAATATGTATGTGTATATATATATATATGCATGTGCGTGTATATATATATATATATATATATATATATTTTAAGACATTTTCATGTTTATACATTCCTTTTATTGATAGAAACATTTAAGCAAATGCTCTGTTTATAATAAACCGTATGAAACAGCATTTACCGGCCTGAATGTCCGAGAAATTTTCATAAAAGATATTTGTTCTCCGCCAGGAATCGAACCTGTATCCTATACGAAACCGTCATATATCCCTACATGCCGTAATCGATCTGGCCACAGAGGATCGTTCGGTTAGCAATGTAGATTTTACTGGTTTTAAACTTCAATCTTCCATGAATCTCCCTTGTACATTCATATCTGCTCAAAGCGTATCCAAATGTAAACAAATGACGTCAAACATTATGAAATGGGCAAAGTCCGACAATTATTTTTAAGACATTTTTATGTTTATACATTCTTTTTATATTTTATATTTAAGTAAATGCTCTGTTTATAATAAAGTGTATTAATAACATTTACCGGTCTGAATTGGTTAAGGCACGTCAGTATATATGACGGTTCCGTATAGGTTACAGGTTCGATTCCTCTCGGAGGACGAATATTTTCTTTGAAAATTTCTCGGACATTCAGGCCGGTAAATGTTGTTTAATACTGTTTATTATAAACAGAGCATTTACTTAAATATTTATATGTATAAAAAGAATGTATAAATATAAAAATGTTTTAAAATAATTGTCGGACTTTGTCCATTTTATGATATATATATATATATATATATATATATATATATATACACTATAATCCGAAAGTTTGGTGTTACCTTGAATTCCTTTAAAAAACACATAAAAATGAGGTATATGTATAAACATAATAATGTCTTTAAAAATAATTGTCTGACTTTGTCCATTTCATCTATCTATCTATCTATCTATCTATCTATATATATATATATATAATCCAGACTATATTTCATTAACTTTACTAATCTACTTTTTGTATGAATGATTCATTGTAATATAAATTGAACGGCACCACATATTTAATTTAAAAGAACTGAACCGACGTGCAAATTTAACAACTCAGACATTACTCTATTTATTGAACAATTTAGTTCATGCCACATTGATTGATAAACTCCTACAACAAAAAATTTCGCAAATTACCATATTAGTAAAAAGATACACTCTTTTAAATTTTCAAAAAATATTCAACCTTAGCATTACAACTGCATGCTTCAAAATTTTGTATCCTGTAACAATAATACATTTAAAAAAAAAAATATGTTGATTCGCAATTAATTTTTTCGTCTCTGATGCTCCCTGGATTTTACTAAAAACAAAATAATTTCCATGCCTGAGGATGACTGAATGTACAGTTGAAAGTACTTGCGTATTCAAAAAAAAAAAGACCTTATACTACTTGTAATTATTATAAACAAGGATCATAACATTCATCGAGTGATTCGTAGGTTAATGCAACTAAAATTTTGTTTGTGAAAGGATTTCGCCATTTTATATCATAAACTTTACTACTAATCAACTTTTTGTATGAAAGATTCATACAAAATATATATATTATAAAAGATGACGATGGTAAGTAACTGGCGATTAATTTATTCTTAAGAAAATTTAAAAAGAAATTCTTACCTCTTTTTCGAAAGTTAAAATGAGAGGAGGAGGAAACATAAGGTCAGAATTAAAAATAGATTAGTGGGTATGTCTAGATTAACCAATTAAATGTCAGATCTGAGCTAAATAGAAAAGTAAGCTCAGAGGGGGGTGAGTTATTTTTCCATGTCATGATAAACCGGAACATAGACAGGCAATCATTGAAGATTGCGGATTTGTCTACAATTAGGATACATTTGTCGCTGACACGTTTTCCGCAATCATCAATGATGCCTTGTCCATGTTTCGGTTTGTCGTAACGGGACAAAAATATTGCATCCACTTCCAACCTCTGAGGTTACTTTTCTATTTAGCATAAATCTTACATTTAATCAAAACATACCCACAAGTCTATTTTAAAATAGCCTAATTTAAGTTTTCTTAAGATTCATTTAATCACCAGTTAGTTACATCGCCTGAAGAAGTACAACAATCAAAGTATTGAAACGCGAAAGCTTTTCTGCAGGGATTTCAACATGTTTTTTATAATAATCTCTTATAATATATATATATATATATATATATATATATATATATATATTTAGAACTGTACTTTGTATTGAACATTTATTAAATGTAAATGCTACGAACAGTGTAATTTTACTCCATCAGTTGTTTCTCTTATTTGTATATATATATATATATATATATATATATATATATATTTACATTCTTGAAAATATATTTCAAATGAGCAGTGTTGAGTGATAAGCAAATTCTATAAGCAACAACCACCTGCGTTAATGCAATGCTCTTCAGTAAATTGAATACAGCACTCCGATTAATTGGCATTTGTTTACAGTCATAAAAACAATACGCTAGATCTAGTTTTTTTAATCGGCTGGAAGAAGATAGCTTAGTGGTTGAAGCTCTGACTGACGTCAAATCTGTTGGATTTCGTTCCTGGCTTTAAGTTTTAAAATATGTGCTTATTATTGGTGTGAGGTTGAATTTTCTTTTTCTTTGAATGCGTGTACGTATGTTTGTGTATGTACACCTATACCTGTGCACATGTGTAGTATGTTGTGCGTTTATATTATATATATATATATATATATATATATATATATATATATATATATCGAGGAAAGATGAGAACAAATAGAGTACAATTCCAGCGTTTGTAATTTAATTTTAAAAGATACAAAATAGAAAAAATTTTTATGGTAGGATATTACATCGAAAACATGTTAAAACTGCTACGAAATTGCAGTGATGTTTCGATGCTTATCAAATGTATCACGACAGGCGATTGCATTTTGCAGTCGCATCTTGAGATGGATTTGATAAACATCGAAAAACTACTGCGATTTTTGACATGTTTTCGATCTAATATATATATATATTCTTTTTTTTTATAGATACAAATATTTAAGTAAATGCTCTGTTTATAAGAAACAGTATTAACGACATTTACCGGCCTGAATGTCCGAGAAATTTTCGTAGAAAATATGTGTCCTCCGACAGGAATCGAACCTGTATCCTAGACCGAACCGTCATGTAGACTGACGTGCTTTTACCGATTTCGCCACAGAGGGCGTTTCGGTTAGCAAGGTCGATTTAACTGTTTTAAACTACAATGCTCCATGATTTTCTCTCGTACATTCATATATGCTGCTCGATGTTTATCCAAATGTAAACAAATGACGTCACACATTATGAAATGGACAAAGTCCAAAAATTATTTTTAAGACATTTTATGTTTATACATTCTTTTTATAGATACAAATATTTAAGTAAATGCTGTTTTATAATATTATATATATATATATATATATATATATATATATATATATATATGTGTGTGTGTGTGTGTGTGTGTGTGTGTGTGTGTGTGTGTGATACTGTGTATCTAACACAGGTTTTCGAAATGAGGTAGAGATTTGGTCTGTTCTTGAAAAAAAAAAAAAACAAAAAAAAAAAATGTAAAAGGAAAGAAAAACGCGATTTGCGGCTAAACATGAAATCTTTGAACAGAATACAAAAATCTTTTCACAGACTATTAAATAAATGAGTTTTGGGTTTGAACAGAAATCCCTAAAGGAAAGAAAAACGGGATTTATTTTTCTAAACATGAAATCTGTAGAAAAGGAGTTAAATAAATAAACTGATTTATTTTATTTCGTTATCAATGTATCTATCGATGGCCCGAATCTCTATCTATCAGTAGAAACAAGCTGAAAAGACGACAATCTATCTATTTAGGTATAACAAAAAACAAAATTGAAGTCACACTCAACAAAACCTCGAGATCTATCTGTCTATCTACACTAAATCAGGATGAAAAATAATAAAAGTGTCTTTGGTGAAATGCTTTTCCCTTCTAAATGATTTAAATAGGTAAAAACGTTTTCTATCTATCTATCTATCTATCTATCTATCTATCTATCTATCTATGTTCATATCTAATTATCCTTCTATCTATCAATCTATCTATTTATCTATAACAATCTTCAATCTTTTCATATCTATCTATCTATCTATCTATCTATCTATCTATCTATCTATCTATCTATGTTAGTCTGTTCATATCTAATTATCCTTCTATCAATGTATCTATCTATCTATCTATCATCTATCTTCATATCTATCTATCTATAACAATTTCCCATATCTATCTATCTATCTATATATTATCTATCATATCTATATATCTAGGTCTGTATCTATCTCTGTTCATAAATTAATTATCTATCTATCTATCTATCAATCTATCTATCTATCTATAACAATGTTCAATCTAATTATCCTTCTATCTATATCAATATCTATCTATCTATCAATATCTATCTTTCATATCTATCTATCTATCTATTAGTCTTTCATATCTAATTATCCGTCTATCTATCTATCTATCTATATTATCTATAACAATCTTTCAATCTTTTCTATCTATCTATTCTATCATATCTATCTATCTATCTATCTATCTATCTATCTATCTTTTCTCTTCATATCTAATTTCCTTCATATCTATCGACTTTTCTGCGTTTCACAATTGTAGTTTAAACGTGGTGCTGGGACTGGAATTTCTATCTAGAAAATTATCTGGATCTCAATCTTTTCAAAATTATTCATTATCTATCTATTTTAATTTGGAAGATCTATCTATATGTTAGTCTGTTCTATCAATAGAATTATCTATCTAATATCATCTATCATCATGTTAGTCCATCATCATCTATTACCTATCATCCCTTCTATGTCGCTAGCTAGTTTGCTGCCTAGACTTTTCTGGGGTCGTTTAAACGTGGGTTGACTTGAATTCAAGCCCTAGCCAATCTGGAATTTGGATGGAGATTTTGATCTCAAAAAACCTTGGAAGATTCGGAAATATCATCATCATCATCATCATTAGCCTCATCCCTTCTATGACTAGAGGGGTCGTAGGGTTGTTGAGCCGATGAAAACCTGATCGGTTCTCTCCAGGGTTGATAAAGGCATTTCTTCGCAAGTTCATACATCTCCAGGTAGCACAGCAATCGATGTCCTTTAACTTGAAAGCTCCTCTTGGTCACCACCACGTAACCGTTTATTCCCTCGGGGGAAACCTCCGCCCTGGTCGGTGGCTGCTGTCTAGTAAGCCCTCCGCCCTGCGATACCATCTCACCATCGAAATGTCTGTATACAGAGCCAAGTGGCCTCAGTTAAGACCGTTGGGCAAGATGATCGTTGACCCTAAATGAATAGTAGGTGTGGTTTATAAAACTGTTGGGTGTCTAGCTACTGTCTTCACCAGGAAATCTTGGTGGTGGAACCAGTTTAGTTGCAAATGATCCAACAATACAGTCGGTAGTGGTTGGTGACATAAGACAAGTAGCACAGATAAGTGGGGGCCTGATAACGAGATTTTTCTCGTAAATTGGTAAAAAGTGAAAATAGATCCGTTCTTATTAGATCAAGTAATGAATCATTTTCTCGAACTCAGCTCGACAAGTGAAATTGGTTCGATGTTAATTATGTCAGCCATTGAAGCAAGATTCAGGGAATGATAGAAGAAGAAGAAGAAGAAGAAGAAGAAGAAGAAGAAGAAGAAGAAAACTACGAAAGAAGATAAATGAATTTAAAAAAGAAGAGAGAGAATTAGAAAGAGAGAAAGAAGAACAAGAAAAGCGTGGGAAGAAGTCTAAAGAAGAAGAAAAATAATCGAGGTTAAAAGAGATAATTAAAAAAGGTGAAAGAATTAAAACGGAAGAAGTGGCGAAGAAGAAAAAGAAGAAGAATGAAGAGGAGGGTGAGAGGTGAAAACTAAAGAAGAAGAAGAGAAGAAGTGTTAGGAAAGAAAACTAAAGAAGAAAAAAGGTAAGAGATTTTACGAATAATAATAATAATAATAATAATAATAATAATAATAATTTTCAGTGCACATTTAGATGTTAAATGTGCACTGAAAAAAGAAATTTCCAGGAATAGATAAAATTCTAACTACTGGCTATATATTATTTAAACAGCACACAAAAAAAAAGAACTTCAAAATGGTTACCGATCCAACTAAAAAAGTTACCTTTTCTACCCAAAAACACAAATATTCGAAAAACTATAGACCAATTACATGTCTTCCAACAACATACAAACTGTTAACATCTATTTTAACAAAACAGACATATTTCTTCTTGGAAAGAAATGACGAACTTGAACAAAAAAGCAAACGAGGCTGCTAATGTAAAGACCAAGACTTATTAATAGGATGAAAACTGCTTCCGTGGAAAAAAAATCTTAGTATTGCCTGGATAGATTATCGTAAAGCATTCGATAGTGTACCACATTCCTGGATCTTAAAGATTAAGAACAAGTAAGTTATCATCAATTTCATCAAACAATGTATGTCGAATGGAAAACTACACTTTACCTCAATCATAAAAATGGAACCTATAAGTCTGGGAAAGGAATATTTCAAGGTGACTCTTTGTCTCCTTTATTATTTTGCATATCACTTATAGCATTAACCAGCCAACTTAACAAGACAGAATGCGGTTACAAAAATAGCTCAAAAAGAATGGATGACTTAAAAGCTAGGAATGACAAAGCTGGAAGGTCTTCTGCAAACTGAAGAAGAATGAAATTCAATTTGGATAAATGTGAAGAACGAGGATCGAACAAAAGTTTAACCCTCTTGGAGAATTCATAAGAAAATGAAAGAAATAGTGCGTAAAGAGACTATAGAAGGGTACGACTGGTATTAAAAACTGAATTGAATTCTCAGAACAGAATTATGGCCATTAATAACCTTGCCATCCCAGTGGTCCAATATAGTTTCAACATCTTGAAACTCTAAATGACATCAGACAAATGGATTCTAAAACAAGCTTCTTTTTCTAATTATAAGAAAAAGAAAAATACATAAAAGAAGGTGGAAGAGGTCTTATTCAGCTAGAATTGTCACAAGAACAACAAAACTAACTTACATGGAAACAAAATGACTGGAAAAAAAGAAACAACATGAAAATAAAGAAAAATATTCAATAATAAAAAAAGGGTAAATACAAAACAACATTTACATTTAAAGATTCTGTAGTAAATCAAAACAGAAGCCAAGAACCAACTATTGCAAAAAGATAGAAAAGAAAGCCAAGGATAAAGCCCTTGAACAGATGAAACAACGCTGGCAAGACAAACATGGCCAATATCCAGAAGCAAATAAAGAATGTTGATAAATTAAAATCGATGGGAGCATTAAAGAAACTGAAAAAGCGCAAGACCAAAACTTTTCAAAAAAGCAAATATCATACATAATAAGATCCAAAAACTGTGACAAATACCAAGAAACAAAAATCTAATCTCAGGATGTAATATACTTGCCCCAAATGAATATAAAAATCGTCACGATAAGTGGGGCAAATAAGACAAGCAAAAGAAAAAGTAAGCAAACACTGGTATGAACATCGGAAGCGCCGGTTTGAAATAGAAATGTCACCATTCTATGGGAAAACCATCCAAAGACAGAAAAATTGAAGATAATTAAAAAAAAGAAAGAAAAAAACTTGACTAATTGAAGAAGAAGATTGTAAAGAAGAAAAAATCAAAATACAAAACCTGAAAAAAATAAACTGAAAACAAGAATAATACCAGTGGAAGCACTTGGAATTATAAAAATGGTGCTTAAGAGACATACAGAAAATTGTCTTATTAAGACAGCACACATAAAAGAAAACAGCAAACCGAAAGCCATAAAGAAAAGTGTTTTTAAAATCGAAAGAAAATAAAATAATAAAGAATCAAAAAGAAGAAAGGTGGGAAACTAAAGTAGAAGAGAAAGAAAACTAAAAAAAAATAATTAAAAAAGAAGAAGAAAAGGGGGGAAATGGAAAAAAAGATGAGAAGTAAAAAAAAAAAAAAAAAAGAAAAAGAAAAAAAGAATTAAATAGGGCATTTAAAAAAGAAGAAAAATAATAATAATAAACGTAATAAGAATTAAAAAGAAGAAGAAGAAGAAGAAGAAGAAGAAGAAAAGAAAACGATAAAAGGATAATTAAAATGAAGAAGAAGAAGAAGAAGAGAATAAGAAGAAGAAAAGAAGAAGAAAAAGAAGATAATTAAAGGGTTAGAAAAGAAAACTAAAAAGAAGAAAAGTGTTTTAAAAGAAAGAAAGAAAAAGAAGAAGAAGAAGATGAAAAGGATAATGTCATGTATGAACAACCATACTTAAGAAGAAAAGAAAAGAAAAAATGGAAATAAGAGAATTTAATAATAATAATAATAATAATAATAATAAAAAAAAAAGAAATCTAAAAAGAAGAAGATAATTAAAAGATTATTAATGTCATGTATGGACAACCATACTTTGGAATATTTCAACTGAAAGGATTATTATGTTCTTTGGTCAACTGGGTTATGCATTTACTTAAGGATTACATTTACATTGGGTTGGAATGAATTTGCGGGGATGGTAGGTCATAAATATAACACCTGAAAATCACTTGTCAATCAAGCTTTTTATCAATTTTACAACTGAAGAATTTAAAACACCTAAAAACGAAGAAAAAGTACGATAAGCAGAAAGATTAGAGAAGAAAACAAGAAGATAAGAGAAAAAAAAGATGAAGTACATATGCTGTAATGATTTCTAAGCTGCTCTTAAATGGAACATAAGGCCGAATGTCTGGAACATGCGGTGAAAATCGAACTCACTACTCAGTTTTAATTGATCTAGCAAAACAAACTTGTTAACCATTACACCTCCTAAGATGCGGTATTGTACGCTGAAGGAGACGAAACGGATGAATGGAAGTTGAAGTCAGATTTGTCCGTACAGTGTTAAATAAGGCGTTTCTTCATCATATAGGGCAGCCTAAAAAATAGAAACATTCGGCTAATAGTATTGAGGAGAATTTAATCTTCCGATAATTTTCTGAAAATATTTTACAGCAGATTGTCCAGTCAGAAGTCAGAGAGCATACTAGACAATGCATATAAATCGATTATTGAGATACTATTACGATTGGAAGGTCTTGCTTAGGAGTTCAAGGACAGATTTTGTGGAATTTATACTGTCAAGTTTGATAAAGAAAGAAAAACCTATTTCAACCGTTTTATTTCATAAAATGGGGGGCATGTATCAAAAGATATAAATTTAATATCCCGGGAATAAATTCGTTGTGATTTAAAAAGCATAGGTTAGTTGTGACACAATGAGATTAAGGAACAGCCAGTGAAAATTGAACTCACTATTCAATCGCAAGATGATCTAGTGAGACAAGCTTGTTAACCATTGCAGCACGACGAAGTTCCCTAAGTGTACCGAATTATATGTTGTACCAAAAAGTTTATAAAAGACGGGACCATTTAGAAGACATTACATGTCTTCCCCCTTTTTTAATCTTCTGCTTTATTTTTCTTTTTCCCTAAAAATATCCCACCTAAGTAAGTTTTCACCTTTCTTCTGCCGTATTTTTTCTTTCTAATTCATATAACCTCAGTACTTAGCGGTTACAAATATTTTCAAGACTATATACCTTCCTGGAGCCGAGCCACAAGCTTAAACATACGCTGTTTACTAGCAGCGGTGGGAGCCTTTCTGCTCTTGACTAGTATGTCATTGCTATACAAACAAAATCAGACAAGTGATTAATGTAAACAATACGTGGCGACAGTATGTGAGTGACGGATGGTGAATGTGTTGTATGAGAATAATTTTTTTTTCTTAGAAATTTCTTTCCAATATTAGGGTGCATCTTCCATGCTGGAGCGTCTTGTAAGACGGAAAATACGGTAAACTTCAAAATGGTTTTTTTTTTTTAACTCTTATCTTTCTCTTTCTTTCCATTTCCGTAGACTCTCGATTTTATTTTTCCCCATTTTCTTAGCTTTTCTTTCTTTTTCATCATCCTTAATCGCTTTTATTTTTACACTTCATGTTTTTAACTTTCTTTCTCTTTCTTCTTTCTTTTTTTTTCTCTCCCTTTTCCTCTGTTTTTTATGTTGTATTTCTTCCTCTCTTGCTATTCGCGAATTTGAAAATTTATGAATTAATAGACAAAAGGAGCGGCTTTTATCTAAAAAAAAAAATGAAATATAAAAAAACAAAAAATCTGTTAACGCAGAATAACCGAAAAAAGATTATAATGGTTCGTAAAAGAAAAAAAAAATGAATAAAGAAGAGTCTTCGTATTAAAAGTAATCAGGATCTATCGAACTTTTTTCTTTCAGATTTTAAAAATATATTTTCTTTGTCATCAACGTAAGTGCAAAAAAAAAAAAATGAACAAGCAAACTGAACATATATATATATATATATATATATATATATATGTAAAGAAACACTCTTAATTTTTTGAAAAAAAATGTCTTTTTTAGTTAAGAATAAAGAAAATATCACCAAAATTAGAAAAATGACAAATTTGTTTCAAAGAATAAATCCTTTTTTTTTAAAACGAAAATAACAGTTTTTTTTTTTTTTTTTGAGACGAGGTTTAGCAATTTATGTGTGTGCGTGTTAGTCGACTGGAATATTGAGTGAATATAGGTTTATACGAAAAAAAAAAGATTCCTACTGTAAAAGATTCGATGTCGGATTTTCCAGTCAGAAGTATACTATTTCTTTTATGCACCGTGTGCCTTCAGGACGTGGACGATCCACAATTGCTTAAAAGACGAAATCAATTGAGAAGATGAAAAGTTCATTCTGTCGCGTCGTTCAAATCGCGACTCTCATGATGTTGAGTAAACACATAAACATAAACACATAAACATAAAAAAAAATCCGCCAAGCATGCGAACATTGTACTGGTTAACAAGCACACACAATGTATTTTATCTCTCCTAAGCATTCTTCTGGCATTCATTTAACCAAGTTCTTCTAGGTGCCGTTAGAACGTTGGCGATCGTGGCTCTCCATAGTTTCCTATCCTTTGTAGCTTCTTAATAAGTTTTGTCTTTTTGCTATCTAAACCGTCCATTTATACAATCTTCTTCTTCTTTTTTAATTTTCTTTTCTAACACTTCTCTCTTTCTTCTTCAGTTTTCGTCTCTCACCCTCCTCCTCCTCCTCCTTCTTCTTCTTCTTCCTTTTTAATTCTCTCACCATTTTTCTTTTTTAGTTATCTTTTCTAACCCTTCTTATTTTTCTTCTTTAGTCTTCTTCTTTCTCTCCTTTTTTCTTTTAATCCGTTTTTATTTTTATTTTTTAATCCTTATTCTTAATTCTCTTCTGCCTCTTCTTTAATTTTCTTCTCTGACACTTCTTTTTCTTCTTCTTCTTCTTCTTCTTCTTCTTCTTCTTCTTCTTCTTCTGCTTCGTGCCGTGTCCCTTCAGGACGTTAGTGAACATGTCTCCACAATTTCCAGTCTTTTGTAGCTCTTAATAAATATTACCTTTTGGTTTTCTCTCCAAAACCTTGTTCTGCTAGACATTTACTCAAGTTCGTTCGTTGGTTCTTTTTCTTTGTGCCGTGTCCCTTCGGACGTTGGTATTCATGGCTCTCCACAATTTCCTATCCTTTGTAGGTCTTAAAAAGTTTTATCATTTTGTTATCTCCCCATAACCAAGTTCTGTCATCCATTTACAAAAATTCCTCCTCCTCATCCTCTTCCTCCTCCTCCTCCTTCTTCTTCTTCTTTTTTTAAAGTCTCTTATCTTCTTTTTCTTTCTTAGTTCCACTTCTAACACTTCTTCTCTTCTTTAGCTTTCAACTCTTACTCTTTCCCTCCTCCTCCTCCTTCTACTTCTTTTTCATTTTAAATTCTCTCATTCTAACCCTTTTTATTTTTTTCTTCTTTAGTCTTCTTCTCTTGCCCTTGTTGTTGTTGTTGCTCTCCTTTTTCTTCTTCTTAATCTTCTTCTTCTTCATGCCGTGTCCCTTCAGGACATTGACGAACATGTCTCTCCACAATTTCCTGTCCTTTGTAGCTCTTAATAAATATTGCCTTTTTGTTTTCTCTCCTAAACCTTGTTCTGGCAGCCATTTACTCAGATTTGTTCTTCGTCTTATATATGTCATACTCATTCAGGGCCTTGGTGATCATGGCTCTCCACAACCTCTTTCTCTTTGTCTCTCTTAGTAAATTTGTCTTTTAATCTCTCTTAATCTCTCTTCTGCTTGTTAGGGAGGCTATGGATTATTTTCTTTTTCTCCCTATTTCCTTCAATATGTCTTTTCCAAGTTATCTTGCCTCATTACGTGTACTTGAACATTTCAACCCTTTTAGATGTTACTCATGTCCTTTTTGTTTCCATCTTCTTTAAAACTTTGTCGTTTTCTCACGTTGCATGGCATTCTCAACATCCTCCTGTAGGACAGCATTTCTTCTACCTCAGGTCTCTTCACCATCTGTGGGGAGACTGCACAGGGGTGCTGATAATACGTAACAGTTCGCTACTCTTTTCTTTGTTTCTAATGAAATTTTCGCTACTCTTTTCTTTATTTCTAATGAACTTTTCCTGTTTCTTAATACTTTGCTTAGCTTTTAAAAGGCATCATTCGACATCCCAATACGCCTTCAGTTTCGATATCGCATTTTCCAGCTATAGTTACACTTATATATATATATATATATATATATATATATATATATATATATATATATATATATATATATATATATAGGAAGTGTAATTCGGAAAGCAAGTGGATGACAGAACGTGGTCTGGGGGAGGAAGCAGAGGAAGGAACTGCAAGGGATAGGGAAAGGTGGAGAGCCATCATCGCCTACATCCTGAAAGGACATGGCACATAGAAAGAAGAATTCGCATGAACTGTTTCCTTTTTGCGTTGAAACACCGGTCTCACTAGGTTCATAGAAGTTAAGCAACTCCTTGCCGGGTCAGTACCTAGATGAGTGACCGCTTGAGAATAACAGCTGCTGGAAACTTGGATGTGCAGGTGATGTAATGGATAATGGCTAAGAATTGTTAATCGGAGAGCCGGGTTTCGATTTTAGTTGGGTTCGTTATATTCACTTACGCACAACTACCTTAGGGAAAGGCATGAATCCATCTATTCTCCACCCAGCAATAGGCTAATTAGTAGGACTTGTGTCACTAAATAATTATTATCTACAAAAAAAAAAAAATAAAAAATAATAATAATACTACAATCTAAAATATTTTTCTCTCTTTAAATAACCTGCAAACGGTTGATAAGCCGTAAAAACAAATCAGTCAAATACCAATTTGCTAAAGAGGCTTGTCTTTTAGATTTCTTCATATTCTCGGGAATATAAATATAGAGAAACTAATGTGGCCACAAAGTGAGGCATCATTTTATATATTGATCTAAATATAGAATTGATCCCCGACTTTATATCCACATTATAATTTCTTGTTTGTTTATCAAATACTGATTAGGTTCACAGTCATGACTTTTAGATTTATTTACATTCTCTGGAATATAAATGTATAGAATTTAATGTGGTCACAAAGTGAGGGATTATTTTATATATTAATTGTAATATAGAATTGATCCTCCACTTTATATCCACATTAGAATTTCTTGTTTATCAAATATTGATTAGGTTGACAGTCATGTCTTTTAGATTTATTTAGTTTCTCTCAAATATGCATAGAAAATAACGTGGTCACAAAATAAGTGATCAGTTTGTATATTGATCGAAATATAGAATAGAACCCCCTCTTTATATCCACATGATAATTTCTTCCTTTTTTTTTATTTATCCAAAATGAGTTAATTACGAAGACTTGTATCACTAAGGCATTATTAGCCCCACCCAGCAAAAATTCTTACAAACTAAAAATACTTCCTGCCTTTAAATAACTTGCAAAGGATTGATAAACCGTAAAAAAACGAATCAATCTATCAATAAAATAAAGATTAGCTCCACAGTCATGTCTTTTAGATTTATTTACATTCACTGGAATATAAATGTATAGATTCTACATTGCCCGCAAAGTGAGGGAGCAGTTTATATATTGATTGTAATATGGAATTGATCCCCCACTT